CACACACGCGCCACACACGCTCACGCCCATTCGCCACACGCGCACCACACGCTCACTCCCAGACGCCACACGCGCACCACACACGCTCACGCCCAGACGCCACACCCGCGCCACACACGCTTACGCCCAGACACCACACGCGCATCACACACGCTCACGCCGACACCACACACGCCACACGCATGCGCACCAAACATGCGTACTCCACACGCTCACACCTCGCCTATCTGCGCACACACATGCAGTGCCACACCCACACATGTTTGCACACTGCACACACATGTGTACACATACCACACCCATGTGCATCCCACACGCTGTGTCATGTACAGGCAACACACATGTCACACACATTTGCACCCATCACATCCCTGTGTGTGCACATATGTACATGTCTCGCCTACACATGTGCACATGTGTGTACATGCCGCAAGACACGCACACGCATGCTCACGAGCATGCCACACATCTGTGTATGCTCACACCTACATGTGCAAACACACATGCACACACCATGCCTATTTGCACGCACACGTGCATATTCTGCACCCACACACGCATAGGCACACACATAGGCACACCCACACCTGCATGCACACAGATATGTGCACGTGCCACACCTGTACGCACATACACGCACACACCGCACATGCATGCACATACATGCCATGCAGGTGTGCACACACATCACACCTGTACGCACACACGCATACACAGCACATGCATGCACATACACACATGTCATGAGTCTGCACACATGTGACATTACATACACACACATGCACACACCACACCTGTGTGCACACACACACGCACGCACGCCGCCGGCACAGTCAGCCCCATGCACGGTGCCATCTCTCGGGCTCACACTAGGCCCATCCGCCCCCGGGCTCCACAGAGCCAGCGCGCTCTGGGCAGCTGCCCCCTCTGCAGACCGCCCCGCTTGACCCTAAATGGCCAGCACTGCAATTTCTGGGGTGCTGCTGTCGCTGTCTGCAGGCGGAGCTCCCGGAGCGAGCCCAGGGTTCCGTGACACGGCGTCCGGCCAGTTATGAAGAGCCCAGGTCGCTCTCGTGTCCCGTCCCTGGGCTCGGAAAAGAAAAGCTGCCTTGTCACGGGAGGCTGGGACCTGGGCCGCAGGTGGAGTCTTCCAGCCGAATTTCCGCTCGCTGGGAAGCTCTCGGCCTGGAGTTTGCTTTTCTTTATGATTTCATGGCGCTCTGGGAAAATGGCCTGACGCTTAGCACCTGTAGCTCCAAGGGTTTACATCTCGAGTGCGTCCTGTTTCCCTGGCATGCTCACCCCTGCATTTAAAACAAAAGCAATGTGCATTCTCACTCTGGCAAGAACCTGACCCACCATCTGTACCATCTGTCATCTCCGTTGCACGTGCCTTTGTGTTCTCTTAATTTCTTAAAATAATCTCTGAAAGCGATAAAAATGTAAATGCAGAACGACGAAGTCCATAGATGTAAGATTTTACAAAGGTAAAAATAAGAGCGTGGCTCCTTGGGTCAGGAAAGTTTTGACATAGACAAAAAGCGACAAAGGAGATTCTTTGGAAAGGCCTTGTGATAGGGTGGCGTTCCCCATCGCATCAGGAGCTTGTCTGCGATCCCCGCAGAACCTCTCGCAAAAGCGACGTGTGTCCAGAACGTTGCAGACATGAACCGGGAGTCAGAGCGAAGTCAGGCCATCCGCACCCACCACCCACAACGAGAAAGGGGGTGCTTGCCACTGTCTCACCTGCTCCCCTCGCCTCTCCTTTCCTTGTCCAGCCACGTGATAATAACCGTTAAGGGGCGCCCCAGTGTGACCTGGGCCACCTGTCTGTGGGGCCTCACCCATGCACTGCAGGCACACACACAAGGGTCAATAACGGGTTTATTTACAAAAGGGGACAGGAAAAGGAGCAACCCAGGGAAAGAGAGATACAAGGTAACTTGGAGCTCTGGTAACAAACTAACTGAAAGCTCCAAGTCTGAGAGCCGTTGCCCCAGCAAGAGAGAGAGCCCTCGCTGTACAATATGGCGCCCTATTTATCCCCCAAAGTCCCAGAATGCCTGCTGGCTCCGCCCTGGGGTCCTTGCAGTTCTCTCCCGGGTGCTGCTGGGAGTTGTAGTTTCCAATCACTGGAGCAGGGGGCAGAGTCCAGAAAGCTGGAGTAGGGGTGGGATCCACCGGACTCCCCAGAGTTCCTTTAGGACATCCTTCCCCTTAACAAAATGACACCCTATTTATCCTCCAATGTCCCAGAATTCCTGCTAGCTCCGCCCTGGGGTCCTCGCAGTTCTCTCCCTGGTGCTGCTGGGAGTTGTAGTTTCCAGTCACTGGAGTAGCGGGTAGAGTCCACAAAACTCTGCAGAGATCCTCCAGGACATCCTTCCCCTTAACATGACCATCGCCATTTTCTCACTTTTCATGCAGACAATCAAACTCTCCACCCCCCATCAGACGCCAGCCCACCTGGAGCCGGTCCTCACTGGTGTGTATCGAGTCTTCTCCATCAGTTCGCCTGCCCACCGGGGCCGGAGCAAGGGGCGAGGGGTGAGGGGGCCCGGCGTGGCCTGGGGAGATGTGTCTGAGCCTCATCTCTCTGCCAGGCGGCTGCCAGGCGTGTCCACTCGTCCTGGGCCTTGTCCGTCTGGGCAGGCTCGGGGTGTCCCCGTGTCTCACTCACCCCAGGGCTGTGGCCGGTGTCTTGTGTCTGACGCTGGCCCATCTGCCGTGGGGTCACTGGCCGTGTGTAGACCTGTCTTGGCTTCAAGCACTGTGGTGCTCCTATTTCCACAGCCGCCGAGGGTGCTGAATCAGCTGGTCAGAAAGTAGTTTCCAAACGAGCTCAAGGAACGAGCTCAGTCCCCTCAAGTGGAAGGGGACTGCTGGACCCCGGAGTGTTGGGTGGGAGGATGAAGTGCACATTTCTTTTAAAGATTGACTTATTGATGCAGACAGAACTGGGGTACAGGCCAGAGGTGCAGGGACAGTGAGAGGCTTCCTCAGAGACAAAGCGGGGAGCAGAACAGGCCGACTGACGAAGTCCACTGCTGAGGGGAGCAACAGATGGGTCAGGTGACCCTGTGAGTCACCTCCGGGGCCAGGGATCGAACTCACGCTGAAGCGGCTGCGGCCGGCTTGCAGTGCTGCGTTCTAACCCGCTGTGCCACCAGGGAGGATCCAAGAGTTTTATTTTTTTTCCTGGAAAATGCGTGTTGAAATTCTGCAGTTGTACCACGATGTCCTGGTGCAACAACACCCCCGAGGCCAGGCACCTGTGACCCGGCTTTTGAGCTCTCAGGCCAGGGTGGGCCACGTCTCCGGGGCTCGTCCCGGGGAGCCAGTGCCTTCGCCCAAGTCTCTGCTGTCTTTGCCAGCAATTCTCTGTCACCTCTGTTAACCAGTGAGGCGGCTGCTCGTTACTCACTTTGCACCCTGCATGAGGCCGACCTGTCCTCTTTATCTGGCACAGAACCAGGGCTTCCTCCTGGGCATGGGGCTCCCCCATCCCCCAAATCAGACCCCGAGAAGTCAGGAAGTAGCCTGCCTTGCCATGAATTTCTCTTCCCTGGTATCACGCCCCTCCCGCTTTTCTGGGTAAACCTCAATCCTGGCTCTTCTGTGTAGGAAAAACTGCGTGGAATTGGTATTACTAAGAAGAGGAAAAGTATTTTTTGTTGCAATGCAGAAGCCAGCCAGAGGGAGAATTAGAACTACCTCGTGCTTGTCTGCGGTGCCCTGAATTCCTTCTTAGCTTGAGTTCGGGTCTCCATTTCCTTGCCCCGGGTGGTTTTCAAGGTTTTCAATTTTTGGACCAGTAACTTCAAAAATAATACCGGTGAGCTTCACTTGGAAAGAATCAAATAGGAACATAAGTGATTATGCCATGTGGTGATTTATAGGCTCAAAATGTCTTACGGGCTGGCATCAGACAGACAGCGACGAGAGGCCCAGTGTCTTAAGAGGGGTCTTGGTGGCGGAGGTGGGGAGGGAGGAGGAAGCAGCTGGATTGACAGGCACTGGGAGCCAGCCCAGGGTGCTGGGAGCCAGCTGGGAGCACTCGGGAGCACCCTCTGTCTGGAGCATGGCGCAGCATGGCTCCAGGTTGTTGTGGGCCCACGCTGGGCCCCGCTTCACGCGCGGCTCCAGGCTGCAGCGGGGACCCCGTTCCCGACAGGCCGGGTGGGGCCCGCTTTACTCTCACCATCCCCGCCTTGAACAAGGAGGTTTGGGGGGGAGGACACAGGTGGCGCGTCCCCGCGGCCGCTCACGCCCTCTGCCCTGGAGTCAGCCTCTTTCTGCCTCCTGCGCTGCTGAGATGGGGGTGCCCCTGCGGGGGGCAGCGCCCGTGGTGCGTGGCGCCCAGCCTTCCCCTCCGTCTGTTTCAGCCCCGTCAGCAGCCTTACATCCTGCCGGCGATGCATGCACAGTGCGGCGAACACTACTCGGAAACTCACGCCTCGCAAGGTGAGCCTGGCCTTTCCCCCAAAGGGGACCATGGAGGGGCGCGGGGGGGGGGGCGGTGTGGGGGCTTCCAGTCACCAGCAGCTTCTGGACGGCACCGGCCGCTGCTGGATGCATAACGGGCATAGGACGGTCTCGCGCCCAGGAGAAAGTCCCTGCCTGGGTTTGGAACGGAGCTGGGACCCACAGTGACTGGATGGGCTCGGGAAGGAGGTGCCCCCAGTGTGAGAAAGTCTTTTCTCTCTGAGGACCTCTCACTCATTGAAATAAAAAACGATTTATTTGTGCACACAAGAGCTGGGGTGCAAGCCAGAGGCGCAGGGGTGAGAGGACCCCCCCAGAGACAGAGTGGGGAGCAGAACAGGTGGATCTACTGAAACCCACTGCTGAGGGGAGCAGCGGGGAGACAGGAGGGGTGTGCTGCGTCCTGGGGGTCCCTCCCTGGCCGGGGATCGGTGCTGCGG